GCTGCGAGACCGTCCCGAGAGATGATCGCTCGTCCAAAAATCAGCCGAAACGAGTGGGAAATGGCCGAGATATGAGCCTTCGAAGTTGGGAATTTCGCTCTCTTTTGCTGCCCTGCCCCGAGCGACTCGAAGGACGCCTCGAGCGCCGCGAGGCGCGGCCCGAGGTCGCCGGCGACGGCCCGCAGGGCCCGCACGCCGCGCGCCGTCGCGTCGGTCGCCGCGACGTCGTCGCCGCCGTCGATCGCGCGCGTCCAATGCCGCCGCCGTTCGGCGAGCGGGTCGTGGCGCGCGCGGAGGGTCGCCGCCTCCGCGTGCCCCCAGCGCTCGAGGTCCTCGAGCGGCTGGCTCACGTCCTTCCGAGCTTCCTCGGCGATCAGCGCCGCGCCTTCTTCGAACGCCGGCGCGTCGAGCCGGTCGAGCGCGGACGCGACCGCGTTCGTCGTCTCGTGCCATCGGTCGAGGACCGCGCCGATCTCGGCCGCGATCGCGTCGCGCCTCCGCCAGGTCGGGAGCTCCTGCTCCCGGAGTCTCGCCATCATATCACATACCGCGCCGGCTGTTTTGTCCAACGCGGCGAGCGCGGAGGCCCAGCTCGCTGTCATCTCGGCGGCGCCGGGGTGACCCTCGGGGAGCGACGCGTCGAGGACGGAGCTGCTTTTGGCGGCGGCGAGGCGCGTCGCGCACTCGGTCAGCACCGTCATCGCGTCCTCGACGTCGCCGGCGGTGGCGAACACAGGCGTCGAGGGAATCGCCGCGGCCTTCACCTCGGCTCGGAGCGCCGCCAGCCGTTGGCCGTAGACCGCGAGCGCGCGCTCCGCCGCCGTCGCTTCCGCGAGGCGCGCCTCGAGCGCGGCCAGGGCGCTTCGCGCCTCCGCGGTGTCGGCCGCGGCCGCGTCGCGTCGCCGTTCGGCCGTCGTCACGAAATCGAGATCGCTCCGCACGACGTCTCGCTCGAACGCCTCGGAGCCGTCTCCCGCGCGCTCGGCGAAACCCGAGAGGAGCGCCGCCGCGGCGTCGCGCGCGTCGCGGAGGGCCTCCGACGCCCAGCACTCGGGGCCCGGCGCGCGTATCGCCTCGAGCGCGGCCGCGGCGGTCTTCGCCTCGCGCGCGGCCGCCTCGACGACGGTCTCCGCCGCTCGCTCGAGGCCGGCGAGTTCTTTCTCCGCGCGGGAAAAGAAGGTGATCGACGCGTCGACGCTCTTCGTCGCGGCGTCCAGGGACGCCTCGGCGTCGAGCAATGTGCGAGTCGCGGCTTCGGCCGCCGGGTGGCCGTGGCGCTGGAGTTGGGCGACGCCCGCCTTGGCCGCGGCGAGGCGCGATCCCGCGTAGCCGCCCCCCTCCTTGACCGCCTCCGCCTTCTTGACTCGCTCGGCCGCGTCGCGCGCCGACGTCACAGCCGCGCCCCGCTCCAAAGCGACGACCTCCGCCTCCACGCCTTCTACGGCGCGGGCCGCGTCCCGGACCGCGGCCTCGTCGCCCACGAGCGTCGAGAGCGTCGTCTTCCACAGGATGAGCGCCTCCGCCGAGACCTTCGCGTCGTCCGCGCGCGCCGCGGCGGCGGCCGCCGCCGCCTCGAGGACCTCGCGCTCCGGGTGCACGCCGAGGTCTGCGTCGCCCCGCAGCGCGTCGTCCACCGCCGACGCGAGGACGGTCGCGAGCTCCGAGGCCTCGTGCGCCGTGACGTTGACGGCCGAGGCGTCGAAGCGCGCCGCGTCGGACGCGGCCGCGGCGAAGGGCGCAACGAGGCGCGCGAGCGCTTCTTCGCGGGCGACCGCCCGTTGGATCCGCGCCGTTCGCGCCGCGACCGCCGCCGCCGCGCGGGACGCGAGCCGACCGCGCGCGGCGACGGCCGCCTCGGCCGTCGCGGCGGCGGCGAGGTCCTCCGCGGCGGGCGCGTCGTCGTCGTCGTCCCAGGCCTCGCCCGCGGCCGCGGCGTCGGCGCGCGCGAGCTCGAGCCGAGCCGCGTCGGCGGCGGGGGCCAGGGCCTCCCGGAGGCCGCGCACCGCGGCCCCGAGGTCCCCCGCGAGCGCCGCGAGCGCGGACTCGTCCCACGACGTCTCCGCGCGCGCCGCCGCGCGCGACGCGTCTCGGAGCGGGCCCCGCGCGGCCGCGATCGCCTCCCGCCGCGCTCGTCGCGCCTCGCGGACGGACGCGACGTACGCGCCGAGCGCGGACGTCACGTCGTCGCGCAGCGCGGCCGCTTCGCCGGCGACGGCCGCGTCGGCCCCGTCGGCGGAAATCGCCGCGAGCGCGGCCAGCAGGCCCGCGCCGTCGACGGCCGGGTCCGCGGGCCTCGCGGCGCGGCCGACGACGAGGGCGGCCGCGACGGCCGCGGCGGCCGCGAGGCGGTCCGCGGCGGCGTCCGCTCGGTCCTCGCGCGTCTTGCGGCGCGCTCCGAGGCCGAGGGCCTCGTTCCACGCGTCGACGCGCGCGCGCGCCTCCCGGCCGTACACGCTCCGCTCGTCGACGATCAGCCCGGACGAGACCGCGTCGTAGGTCCTCGGCTCGTCGAGGATGCGCTCGTAGAATACGACGTCGCACTGCACCGCGGCCAAGGTCGCGGACGTCGCGTCGTCGCCGCTCGGGCGCGCGATGGCGCGCGCGAGGCCGTCGAGGGCGCCGAGCTCCGGCCGGGCCTCGGCGTCGGCCAGCGCCGCCGCCGCCGCGAGGAGCGCGTCGTGCCGCGTCGCGTCCCAGCGCCGCGCGGTCGCCGCCATGCCCGCGACGGCCTCGTGGTGCGACTTGAGGCCGCTCGCGTGCCGCACGAGGCGCTCGCCGACCGCGCGCGCGCGGTCGACGAGATCGTTCCGGGCCTCGGCGCGGCGCGCGGGCAGCGCGGCGATGGCCTCCTGCCGGGCCCCGAGGCCCACGATGTGCGGCACCGCCGCGACCGACAGCGTCTCGAATCGCGCGGCCGCTTCGTCGAGCGTCGCCGCGGCGCGCCAGTCTCGCGGCGCGGACACCGCGGCCTCCGCGTCGCGCGCCCACGCCTCGGCGGCCTCCAACGACGCGGACGATGCCTCGATCGCCGCGTCGACCTCGAGCTCCTCGGCGACGCGCGCCCGCGCGGCTTCGAAGGCGCCGGCGTGCTTCTCGAGAGCCGCCCAGACCGCGGCCGGCGAGTCGTCGTCTTCGTCGCGCTCGGAGAACGACGACGCCGCCGACTCGCGGCGCGAGTCCCCGGGGGCCTCGAGGATCGCGGCGACGGCACCTTCCGCGCCGGCGAGGTCCGCGCGCAGGAGGTCCATCTGCGCCGGGAGGCGGGGTTCCACCGCGCCAAACGCTTCGGCGCGCGCGGCGTCGAGCCGCTCCGCGAGCGCCGCGCCGGAGACGTCCTCGTCGTCCGCGGGCCAGGCCGGCGCGACGACGCGCCGCGCCCTCGAGCACGCGGCCACGAACTGCCGCAGCGAGCGCGCGTGGTCGTCGAGGAGCACGCCGTATTCGACCTCGACCGCCGCGGGGTCGTCGGCCGCGGCCACCGCCGCGCACGCGGCCCGGAGCGCGGCGCGCGACGCCGCGTCCGCCTGCTCGAGAGCCCGCGCCACCGCCGCGGCCTCGTTCGCCGCGGCCTCGTTCGCCGCGGCCTCGTTCGCTGCGGCCTCGTTCGCCGCGGCCTCGTTCGCCGCGGTCTCCGCCGCCGCGGCCTCGTTCGCCGCGGCCTCGTTCGCCGCGGCCTCGTTCGCCGCGGCCTCGTTCGCCGCGGCCTCGTTCGCCGCGGCCTCGTTCGCCTCCGCCTCTTTCGCCTCCGCCGCCGCCGCGGTCTCCGCCGCCGCCCTCGCCCCGGCGATCCGCTTGGCCTGGTCCACCGCGGCCTGCTCCGCGGCGGCGGCCTCCTCCGCCGCCGCGACGACGTCCGCCGTCGCCGCCTCCGCGGCGGGCGCCGCGGCCTCGCGCGCCGGGATGTCCTCGAGGACCTCGACGAGGAGGCGCCGCCGCTTGCGCGCGTTGCCGTACTCCTCTTCGCGGTCGCGCTGCCGCTTGAGCGCCACGTAGGCCAGGTCCTGGACGATCATGCGCGGCGGCCCGTTTCGCATCTTCCGGGCGCCGTCCGCGACGACGTCCAGCAAATTCTCATCCTCGTCTACGGCGCCGAGGCCGTCGATGAACACATGGTACGACGCGGGCATCACGTCCGGGAACTTGGCCGCGAGGAGCGCTCGCGCGTCGCGCACGGTCGACGGCGCGGCGACCTTGATGTAGCCGACGAGATGCTCTGCGCGGTTCAGCGCCACTGCGACTCGCTCGGTCATGGCTTCGGACGGGGCAGCCATAATCCGAATCAAATTACCAACGGATTGAAGTCGTTCTTTCCGTACTGTTGTACGCAGAGCATGAGCCAGCCCAGTGTCGTAATTCGGAGCCAGCGCGTCGAGCGGCGGCAACCCCATTGAGTGCTCAAGGAGCCCAGCGACGATGGACCAGCCCGCGGCGCGCGACGCTCGAGCGGCGGCGACGATGGAGCAGCCCGCGGCGCGCGACGCTCGAGCGGCGGCGACGATGGAGCAGCCCGCGGCGCGCGACGCTCTCGGCGGCGACGGCGACGCGCCGTCGAGCGCCTCGCCGATGGACGTCGAGGCCGAGGCGTGCCTGACCCAGCGCTCGAGCGCGACGCACCTGACCCAGCGCTCGAGCGCGACGCTGCGCGTCCTGTCGCGCCGGCGCCGGCGGATCGCGTCGTCGACGTCGTGAGACCTGGTCGTGTGCGCCGTCATCGTCGTCGGCGCGCTGCTGAGCTACGGCCTCCGCGTCTGGACCGACGCCGGCAACCCCGTCGGCGGCCGCGACGCCTGCGCGCGGGAGGCCGCGGAGCTCTCGGGCGACGTGCTCGACACGGGCGTGTCCGCGTGCCACCTCCGCGACGAGATCCTCGTGCGGAAGCGCTGGTACGACGGCGCCGTCACGTGGTTCGACATGCAGGTCTCGGCCGCCGCGCTGCGGCCGGCCCGGGGCCAGGCCGCGGCGATCTACGCCACGCAGCGCGTCGTCTTCGGCTTCGTCTCCGTGCTGGCGAACTGCCGCGTGCTCTTCTTCCACTACTCCGCGGGCCCCAGCGTCCTGTGGCCGTGACGACTTTCGAGAGATTTCGGCCGGGGAAACGACGAAACATCGTTACCGTCGTGCTCGGTAGGTGGACCCGCACCCGAAGTTCACGGTCGACGCGCGGAGCCGCGCCGTGATCCGCGCGCACGTCGCCGCGGGCAGCGTCGAGGTCGCGCTGCCCCTCGTGGCCTTCCTGACGTCCGACGAGGCGCTCGGGCGCGGCGCGATGTGGGCCACGCTCGCCGCCGAGGTCGTCCACGCGTCGACGGCCGCGGCGCTCACGCCGGACGTCTTCGGCACGAAGACGATCATGGTGCCCGCCTACGCCGTCGTCGTGGCCATCAAGGTCCTCCTCGCGTAGACCCGGCGTTCGTCTTCGCGCGCGCGCGACTCGCGCGGCGCTCGTAGGTGCGGCCTCCTCGCGGCGCTCGTGCACGACCGGGCCGCCGTGTCCGGCCGCGCGGCCTACAAGGACGAGGTCGAGTGGCTCTCGGCGTCCTGTGGCGGTGACGATTTTCGAGAGATTTTGACCGGAAAAACGAAGAGACATCGTGACCGGCATGCTTGGGAGGTGGCTCTGGGCCCTGTGGAGCGCGCACAACACCTACGCGTACGTGCGGCTCTGGTACGCGTTCCTCGCGCGCATCGACAGCCTCCAGAGCCACCTCTACAGCGTCGCGATCCTGCTCGCGGGCGCGACGGCCGGCGGCCAGGCCGTCGGCTTCGTCTTCGTGCCGCTGCTCGTGGCCGCGTGCTACGTCTACCAGGCGTGGCTCCACCGGTCGGCCAAGGGGCTTTTGGACCGCCTCGAGGCCATCGAGGCCAAGGCGAAGCGCCGGGGCTTCGCGACCGCCGCGGAGCTCGAGGCCGAGGCCGCGGACCTGCGCCTCGCGCTCCTCGACCGCGCGCTGTCCTTCGAGGAGAACTCGCGCCTCTTCCTCATCCAGAGCGGCGACCAGATATCCTACGTGCGCGAGCTCCTCGAGCGCCGGGGCCTCGACGCCGACGACGCGGCGCTCCGCGCCGCGGACGTGGCCCCGCGGACGCGCGCGGACGTCGTCTACGAGCTCGCGGCGTCCCAGAGCTACCTCGAGTGCGACCGCGACGTCAACGGCGCGGAGCTCCTGCTCTTCTTCGCGCACTTCGGCATGCGCGTGCCGCAGGTCGCGGCGATCCTGCGGACGAAGATCACGAGGCACCCGGACGGGAGCGAGACCGTGTCGCGCGACGTCTTCTTCGACGCCTTCGAGGTCTTCTGGACCTACGTCTTCGCCCAGCTCCTCGAGCTCTACCGCGCGGCGACGCTGTCGACGCGGCACACGCTCAACGAGCTCCTCGCGCGCCACGACCGGCGCTCGGACGGCTGCCCCTTCAAGGCGGCACCGAGCCCGCGCGACGCCGACGCCGCGGTCGCGCGCCTCGCGGCGTCGCCGCCGGCGGGCGCCGCGTCCGCGGTCTGGGCGTCGAAGCGGTCCCTCCTCTCCGCGCGCGCCGCGTCGCCCGCGAGTAGCGCCGCGGCGCCGTCGTTCGTCGACCCCCGCGCCGCGCTCCGCGTCGCGAACGTGCAGATCCACATGGACTCCTGGGTCTCCGCGCGCCACCTCGACCTCGAAGCGCGCGCGTAACCGCGTCGTCCGCGCTACGACTCGGCGCGGCCCGCGTGGACCCCGGGGTCTCCGCGCGCCCGTGTTACGACTCGGCGCGGCGGACGAGCGCGCGGACGGCGTCCGGGTCCGCCGAGGCCGCGACGCACGCGGCGACGATGAGCGCGCCGCCCGCGGCGTCGAGGGGCGAGAGGGGCTCGGCGATGAGGAGCGCGGCGAAGAGCGCGGCCCAGAGGGGCTCCGTCGCGAGGAGGACGGACGCCTCGGCGGAGGAGACGCGGCCGAGGGCCGTCGTCTCCGCGACGCGATTCGCGGCCGTCGTCGCGAGGCCCGTCCACGCGGCCGCGAGCGCGACGGTCCGCAGGGCCGGGTCGAGGAAGAGGCCCGGCAGGGCGAAGGACGCGCTCCGGCCGTCGAGGAGCCAGCCGGAGCCCGCGAGGCCGTCCCACGCGGCCCAGAGAGCGGACGCCGCGGCGACGACGGAGACCTGGCACGCCGTGATGGGCAGCGCCTGCGTCGGCTCCTCGGCCATCATCTTCTCCGTGAGGAAGAAGGACGTGCCGAAGCCCACGGCCTGGAGCATGGCGAGCCCGTCGCCGACGGAGAGCAGGCCCGTCGCCGCGCCGCCGCCGGCCGCGAACGCGCCGGGCAGCTCGAGGAGGCCGACGCCGAGGAGGCAGAGCGCGCCCGCGAGCCAGACCTGGGGCGCGTCGCGCGGCCCTAAATCCCGGCGCCCGTCGACGACGTAGCCCAGCGCCGGGCAGACGACGACGGTGAGCGCGCCGAGGAACGCCACCGTCGACGCCTGCTCCGTGACGAGCGCCGCGCTCTGCGTGACGTAGCCCAGCGTCGTGAACGCGCCGCAGACCAGGGCCGGTGTCGCCAGTTTCGGCTCGAGGCGCAGGAGCCAGGGGCTCAGGGCCGCGGCGGCGAGCACGAAGCGCGCGGACGTCGACGCGGACGCGGGCAGCGCGTCGTTCATGAGCCGGCCGAGCGCAAAGTTCGTGCCGTAGAGCACGGACGACCCGAGGAGCAGCGCCTTCGGCCAGAGCACGACGGCCTCCTCCTCCTCCGGCTCCTCGACGACGCAGATGCCCCGCGCGCAGACGACGTCGGGCACCGGCGACAGGTCGATGAGCGTCGCCTCCTCCAGCGCCTCGTCGACGACCAAACGTCGGAGCCGCGCGGTCGCCGGGGCCGCCGGCGCGACGAATCCACGCGCGACGCCGAGGAGCACGAGAAACACCGCCGGGCGCATCCTCGTGCTTGCAACAGGCCTTGCCTCAGGCCTTGCCGCGATCTATTCAGCGCGTGGCGCTTGTTGAAGTCTGCCGGTTCTTAGCAACGCTTGCAAGGCTGCCCCCGATGGACTTCATCAGCACGCTCGTGTGCGCCGCCGCGGCGCCGGCCCCGGTCGACGAGGGCTGGTACGTCGTCGACGCCCGCGCGCCGGTCGTCGCGCGGCCCGGCGGCGACGCGACGGGCGCGTTTCTCGCCGCCGGCGAGCGCGTCTTCGTCGTCGAGTCCGAGGTCGCCGGCGCCGGCGCCTACGCGCGCCTCTTCCGGGGCGGCTGGGTCGACGCGTCGGGCCTGCGGGCCGCGCCGGCGCCGGGGTCGTCGTCGTCGGCCAAGGGGCGGCCCAACGCCGAGGCCTTCGCGACGGATTTGGACGACGAGGTCTCGCCGGACATGGCCGCGCTCGTGCGGACGTGCAGCATCGGCTCGCCCCCGGGCTTCCTCGACGGCTACGACGGGCCGTCGGGCGCCGGCTGGTACGCCGCGCGCGAGGCGACGCCGGT